GAGAGTTTTTCGCCCGGTAGTAGAGCCCACAAGCGTTGCAGACTAACGAGCCATCAGCTGCACGTCTCCATAACGGAGTCTTCGCAGTTCCACAGTTGGAACAAACGTGGCTGCTATCGTCTGAAACTACTGAAGGTGATGCTGACGATGTTGAGTAGCTTTGGGGTGGCTGTGGATTATCTCTCACTGGGGAAGTATCGGTGCTAGTAGAGCTGGTTGGTTTCGCACTCATTATTGTTGTTGATGTCTCTGCAGGTACTTTTTTGAGGATGTGAATATTAGATGGGCTTATTGATACATAGTCCTTGCTGGATGAAGCAATAAAATGAGACAGTTGGGGAGAGTGATGATGCCGGTGTAAGTTTTCTTCACTGCTGACGAGACGCGGCATAAAGTCTAAATCCTATCTCCTTCATCTATAGCCAATGGGAGGCGAATAATTACAAATACACTACGCAACGAGGTAGTGTACTGACGGAGAGAGTCATATGACACACTGAAACGACCAGAAAGCCGATGAAACACGCTGGTCGGAGATACAGTGCCCAAAACGGAATTATTGAGTAGTGCACGGGACTTAGCGAGGGAGAATTTCACAACTCAAAATCGCAAGAAGCGTGGGGGTCGGATGTGATCGACTTCGAAATCTTGGCAAAGGATGGAATTGAACACATCATCCAATACATAGTACCGAATAATAGGGAGAACCGATGAAATTGAAAGATTGATCAGATTGATCAAAATTGAGGTTTTTCTATCTTTTTCGGGTAAAAAGATCCGATATCGTGGGAGATTTAAATTAGGCAGGTTTGGTGGGCAGAAAACCGTTGAAAAGGGCTCAAAAAATCACTCCCTTAGATTCAGCTACACATTGAGAAATCTATCCTATTTTTAAAGTTGAGTTGCTATTATTTACTAGAAGGTAACCATAAACATTCGATATTTACCCCTACTTTTCAATGAGGTTGAGGTTTTTCCCCCAACCTTTGCTACGTGGATACTGTTATCAGATGCATGACGGTGCATATTATCCGACTTATCTGGTAATTGATAAATAAAGACTCAGCTAGTGAGTAGAGGATTCTTCACCTCAGCGTGTACAAATTCCAGTCGTTCAGACTCCAGCTTGCCTGTCCTTTGGTTATTGATCCTCTTTCTCAAAGACTCACCATAGAACTCTCCGCTTTTTTTAAGTTTTCGTCGTGTAGGCTACTCCCCAGCATCTACCATAAACGGTAATAATACCCTTCTAACTGGATCTCTTAATGAGCCGCATGAAACTGTTATCTTCATTATCAAACACATAAATTGGCCATACACAATCCAGTTTCCAAGATATCAGTAGTCCCTAAGCAATTCCTCTATTTTGGATACTGGGCCAATAAGATCGTAGCCCGCGTATCGTATCACATTCTATATAAATACACAGTAAAATCCCTCCGCTCTAGCCAATTCAAATCATTCGATTAATAGCCTCTACATTCGACAATGTCTGAAGAAACTCCTCTCCCTTCTGGATACTACGACTCAGGAACCGGAGGAAACTCCCTCGAGGTCGACTTGAATGTTCGTTTTGACAAAGCTGACATGGTATGGGTTGCCGTCAGTGGTTGTTTAGTCTTTTTGATGGTCCCCGGTGTCGGTCTGTTATACTCCGGTCTGGCTAGAAAGAAGCATGCCCTTTCTCTATTGTGGGCCTCTTTAATGGCCGCAGGTGTGGTCTCGTTTCAATGGTTTTTCTGGGGTTACTCCTTGGTCTTTGGCCGTGACTCCAGTAACTTTTTAGGTAACATGAAGAATTTCTGTCTGATGGATGTTCTTGGTGCTCCTTCAACTGCTGACACTGTACCCGATATTCTGTTCTGTTTCTTCCAAGGTATGTTTGCTATGGTCACCGGCTGTCTGATGGTCGGTGGTGCTTGTGAAAGAGCAGCTTTGGGTCCTATGATGGTTTTCCTGTTCTGCTGGGTAACCGTTGTATACTGCCCAATTGCCGCTTGGACATGGAACGCAAACGGATGGTTGGCTGAACTCGGTGCCTTAGACTTTGCCGGAGGAGGACCTGTCCATATGAACTCTGGTGCAGGTGCCTTGGCTTATGCTTTATGGTTAGGTAAGAGAAAGGATCCAGCCGTCGCTAAGGGAGTTCCCAAGTACAAACCTCACTCTGTAACCTCCGTTGTCCTAGGAACTGTGTTCCTGTGGTTTGGATGGTTTGGATTCAACGGTGGTTCTACTGGTAACGCTTCTATGCGCTCTTGGTACGCATGTGTCAGCACCAACTTAGCCGCTGGAACTGGAGCTTTGTCTTGGTTATTCGTCGATTACTTCAGATTTGGCCGTAAGTGGACTACCACTGGTATGTGCTGCGGTGCCATTTCTGGTTTGGTTGCCATTACTCCTGCTGCTGGTTACACTCCAGTTTACTTTGCAGTCGCCTTTGGTGTTGTTGCTGGTGCTCTCTGTAACTTTGCTGTTGAGCTTAAATTCTTGATGAGAATTGATGACGGTATGGATGTCTTCGCCCTTCATGGAGTTGGAGGATTTATCGGATCTGTGATGACTGGTCTCTTTGCGGCCGACTACGTTGCAGCTCTTGACGGAACCGAAATCGACGGTGGTTGGATTAACCAGCATTACGTCCAATTGGGATACCAATTGGCCGCTTGTTGTGCCACCCTGCTTTGGTCTTTCGGTATTACTTCAATCTTGCTGAACATCCAAGACAGAATTCCATTCTTGAAGTTGAGATTGTCTGAGGACCAAGAGATTATCGGTACTGATGCTGCCGTTATCGGAGAGTTTACTTACGCTGATGATCATCAGGACAACATGTTCATTCCTCAGCCTGAGCCAACTCCTTTGTCCCCAATCAAGTCAATCAGGTCTGTTTTGGGCAACAACAAGAGCCAAAACCCTCCAGCCAACGGTGAGACACTCGGATCTGAGACCAGCTCTGGCAAGCCAGAGTAAACCAGATCAAAATAATTAATATGCGATAACAAATTATGACTTGTATTGTATTTAGTTGAATTAATTAATGTATAAACAAAGTTATTACGAAAACAAATGGCCAAACTTCTTGGTCAACACCCGTAACTTAGACATGTAGGTGTCCTTATTGAGGTAGCATCCTTTCAAGAATCTTTCTTCGCCCTCCTTCAGTACAAATTCATTTCTGGAGTGCAGAATTCTTCTGTTATCAAAGATTACGCAAGTATTTTCTGGGATTTTGATAGCATATTGATTAACTGGATCGTGTACAAATTCTTCAAACATTGCTAAACCCCGCAGGAAATCTTTAAAAAGATATGAGTCGCCGATTTCCTTGGCATTGTTAACGTTAGAGGAGATGGAATGCGATGATACCAGATCGTCCTTATCCTGGGGAGAGAATGGCTTCGTGATACCAAACTCAAACGGCGCTTGGAATGAGGGGGAATAATTGCACTCTTTGATCGTGTGTTGACCCGTTGCAAAATCTGTTGAGGCCTCATCTTCAACTACTAATGGTCTTGCGTAGTAGTAATATTGCTCGTCATTTTCGTAATGGTACGATATAGGCACATTGGTTAAAGCAAAGTAGGCCTGCGGTTCTGTTTGGGCGACATATTTAGCAGCAAAGAAAGAGTCGGCAAATATCGACTCTCCACCTTCCACGGAATTCTTAATGGAATGAAGCAATTGCAAACCTGGAGGCGATTGGTAGTACAACAGATCCATATGAAGTGGCAAAGAATGAGATGTGTAAGCAATGTTCTTGGCGTTATCCACCGATTTGACATCGAACAACTTGCCATAAAAAGTCTCCCTGATATAGCCAATTCTCGTCGCAATGTCCTCAATGAACCATTTGTTAGTCTTCTCTTCTTGTTTAGGAATGTTGTTTATAAATACAATTCCGTAGGTATTGATCTTTTTTAGAACGTCAAACAAAACTAAATCATCCTTGACATAAGAATCATAGTCGAAATCTATTTTTCCTTTATTCTTAGCTGTGACCAGTTTACTACGATCCCATTGAATAACATCATTCTCAAAGAATTTACCGATTCGACGAGCTTCAATGTTGGAATATTGGGTCAGAAACTGTTTGGAATAAGTCGATTTATGGGTTTTACCATCGCCTTCGTCCCATTCAATCTCTAACATTGAAGCACCTGTTCTTGGATCTTCGATCACTCTAGGTGTGGAAGCCGGAACTGATTTGGGTACAATCTCTGAAGTCTTGAACAACTTCTGTTTGGAGTCCTTATGAATTGACTTGTCTGCCATTGTACACGAGTCTCTAAGGAACACGTTGTGGTAAGTTACTAGCATTTTGTCATCTAACTTTATTGTCGTTGAAGCTTCTGAGCTATCAACCAGCTCCAGGCCGGCGTTCGAAGCTACGGATGCCAATCGACGGATTCCTTGCGCTTGCAACCTAAAGTTCTTATACACCAAACTCTTTAGCATTATCTCTATTTGTGGGGGGAGAATGTCAAAATTTCGCCTTCGTGAACTAAAGAAAGAACAAGACTGAAATAAATATCATACGACGAGGGTCGGCAGTATGGGGAAAAAAGAGATGATCGGTTGGGTCACGCGCAGAGCTGGAAATGCCGAACCAATGCTATTTGCTTTCGGTGAATTGAGGCAAGACGAAGAGGACTTACAGGGTTACGGTGATCAAGGCCAGAGGTAGCTAGTGGATGAACTGGTGGTACTGTCAGGATCATCTCCCGGTACCCCATGTTTTCTACTCGGCGTTACCATGACATCTGTTTAGGGGTGTGGGCTCAATCGCGAAGGAGCAACTGATGAACCACAAGCAAATTAAAAGATCAGCAGGTTCAGACGAAAAACGTTGTACCTAGTTGCATGCTAGAGAGTGGGGAGGCTTACCAATAGACAGCTCTCCGCTCAAAGTCAACATTTGGTCTGCTAAATGCCTTTATAATGAATTTATATTATCACCAACCTTGATATATAGATTGATAACTCTTGACCCTGTGATCCTCTCAGTGGCCAAGCTGGCTAAGGCGCGAGACTGTAAACGTATTTTCAGCTAATCTTGAGATCGGGTGTTCGACTCACCCCTGGGAGACTTATTTTTGGATCAACTTACTATATTTCTCTCCGTTATACGATCTGAACCTTACTATCACTCCTTTAATCTGGTTTGAACTACATTTCATTCACTGCGTAATCTACGTTATTTACCATCCACGAGTAGAAAGCTTCTCTGAAGATTTCAAACTATCAACCGTTATTCCAAACATGCACTTACCCAAGTCTTTTGAGTATTCCAATAATTTGGCTGGGTCATTGTAATGGGTGACAGCGTGCACAATGGCAGCAGCTATCTTTTCAGGATACTCACTCTTGAAGATTCCAGATCCAACAAAGACACCGTCACACCCTAACTGCATACATAGTGCTGCATCAGCTGGTGTTGCAACCCCTCCAGCAGCAAAGTTTACCACGGGGAACTTTCCACCAGCTTCCTTGAATTCTCTAAGAACCTCAATTGGTACTCTCAGCTCCTCAGCAAAGGCGTTCAAGTCTTTTTCGGTCTTGATGGCTAGTAATTGGTTAATTTGCTCTTTAACCAAAGCAATGTGGCTGACAGCCTCTGAGATATCACCGGTACCTGCCTCTCCCTTGGTTCTTAACATAGCAGCTCCTTCAACGTAGGTTCTTCTTAGAGCTTCTCCAAGATCTCTACAGCCACAAACAAATGGTACCTTGAAGTCGTTCTTGGTAATGTGCAACTTTTTGTCTGCTGGGGTCAACACTTCAGACTCATCAATGTAGTCAACGCCTAGAGACTCCAATATCTGGGCTTCGACAAAATGTCCGATACGACATTTTGCCATGACAGGAATGGAGACAGCTTCCATGATTTCCTTGATGAATTGAGGATCACTCATTCTTGAAACACCACCTTCCTTACGAATATCAGATGGGACTCTCTCTAAGGCCATAACAGCACAAGCACCTGCCTTCTCAGCGATGATGGCCTGTTCAACGTTAACCACATCCATGATGACTCCACCTTTCAGCATTTGAGCCAATCCAGCCTTTAATTTAAAGTCGTCGTTTGTCATTGTCTTAATCTAGCTATTAGTTTGAAAATGAACAACGAATTGAGGACACTGCCCTATTTATATGCTCTTATCATGGTGGTCTGTCGACTGAAAACTTGTCATATCGGATATACCATCGAAAAAACGGCAATTTTGACCAATTTGGAGATTATCAGAGGGTATTAAAGTGACAAGTCAAAATCATATCCAATAAAAACGGTACGCGAACCACCATATCGGATATGCTTTGACCTCGATATATAAGTTTGACAGGCTCCGAGTAAAAAGGCCGATGACTAAATGACTCAGTCAACTCAAATTGTAATTGGGGTGCTGGCCATCCAAGGTGCTTTTAGGGAGCATATACTACACCTGGTGAAGGCAATTGATGAGTTAGGTTTGCAAGAAAAACTCGAAATCTCAGTTTTTGAAGTTCGTGATGAAGAGATGCTGGACCGATGTGATGCTCTTGTCATCCCCGGTGGAGAAAGCACAACAATGTCATTGGTCGCTCAAAGACTGAACTTACTTGAGCCTCTGAGACAGTTCATAGCCTCCGGAAAACCAGCTTGGGGAACTTGTGCTGGACTCATCATGCTGTCTGCATCGCTCCAGAACAAGTCATGTGACCAACAGTTACTTGGAGGACTGGATATAGAAACCACCAGAAATGCATTTGGGCGTCAACTAGATTCATTTATCGCCAACCTGGATTATTCCAACTTTATACCCGGACTTACAGCCTTCCAAACCGTTTTCATAAGAGGTCCTGTGATTTCTAAGATTCTTCCACCATCACCAGGTAGACCCAAAGTTGAGGTACTGGCCAGCTTACCAGCTGAGCGTGGTTCTCAAATTATAGCAGTCCGTCAGGGCAACATTCTAGGAACTTCTTTCCATCCCGAATTGTCTGAAGACGTCTCTTTTCATAAATGGTGGGTTCAAGACTTCGTGCTCAGCAAGATCACGATGAGTTAGCCATAGTCATTATCTAATTACTAATTAATTCGAGCCTAAACAATTATCGGTATGAACTCTATTATAGCCTAGTATTCTTCATCCTTTTCACTATAGGAGACTGAAAATGCCTATAGAACAATGGTAGACGACGATGAATTGAAAAGACCATTATTGGACACTTTAAACGACGAAAACCCTCTTCTAGAACCCTTCGTCAGTAACTATCAGAGCTTAAATGATGTTCAATCTCACTTTTCATTTGATAAGGATGATCTTCAAGATATACCTATAACTGTGCTAGAAACGTTACAGTTGGCTGATCGCACGCTGGAATCAGAGTTAGAAGAACTAAATCCAAGGGGTTCATGTATTACCTTCCGATATATCGTGTTGAGTATACTCTTTATTGTACCTGGTGCTATTATTGATACAGTGAATTCATACAGAACAACGTCAGCAGACTTTAGTATTTTGTTGGTACAGTTGTTATCAAATGAGCTTGGAAAATTAATGGCTAAAACTCTTCCCAATAGAAGAGTTAACCTGAGATGGTTTTCTTTCAGCCTTAATCCAGGTCCGTGGTCCACGAGGGAGGCCGTCCTGGTAACTATAACAGCAGCTTCAGGAGCGACAGGAAACCAAGGTACAGAGTGTATCTCGTTGGCAAAAATCTTTTATGATGAGGATACTCCTCCAATAATAGCGATACTGTTCATGTATTGCATTGTTTGGGTAGGGTATTCTTATGCTGCGATTGCCAAGTCATTTGTGTTATACAATCCAAAATTTATATGGCCCAAAGCTCTAATGCAAACTGCTTTGTTCAAAAGCCAGAACAAGACTGGAAACACAGGTGTGATGAGGGTCTTTCTGGTTGCATTGTCTGCTATGACCCTATGGCAGTTTTTGCCTGAGTATCTGTTCCCTATGACATCCTCTCTGGCTGTCTTATGTTGGATAGCACCATATAATGAAACAGCAAACTTCATTGGAAGTGGACTAGGTGGTATGGGAGTTTTGAATTTTTCTTTGGATTGGAGTAACATAACGTCTGCCGTAATGTTGAGTCCCTATTGGACAATTGTGATTCAATTCTTGGGGTTTTTTGCTTCCTGTTGGGTTTTGGTCCCCTTCTTCAAGTGGTATAAGGGTGGAATATGGTCTTTAGGAATCATGTCTAATCACCTACTTACATCCACTGGAGAAATCTATCCAACTGATAAACTAATCTCTGAGAACTTGACTCTTAATGAAACTGCCTTTAAGTTGTACGGCCCAGTCTATATGGGAGCTCAAAGAGTGTGGGGAATATTCTTTGATTACGCAGCATATTCTAGTGCAATTGCGTGGATAACCGTTTTTGCATATAAGGATGTCAAGTATCTGCTAATTCGCTTGAAGGAAAAGCTGACTCAACAAGAAAAGTCAGCATCTGCAAATGAGGAACCGTTGTACCATGCAGGTTTTCCACGTATTCATAAATCTTCATCTAAATTCCATGATATCATCAATAAGAGATACTCTGTTTATGAGGACATTCCGAACTCGTGGTTCTTAGCTTTATTTGGTTTGAGTTTTGTTATTTTATCTTCAATTTTCCTTACTGGTTCTTTCTATCTGCCCTGGGTTCCATTCATAATAGCCCTGTTTTTGGGCAGCATAATTATCACACCATTGGCGTACCTCTACGCTTTGTCCAACTTTCAACTACCGATAGGCACAGTGAATGCACTGTTGTATGGGTCGATGGTTCATGTTTTCAATGCCCAAGTACATCCAATAAGTGGATCAGTATACACTGCAATTGCTGGTAACGCCTGGTACCGAGCTCAGTTTATGTTACTTGATTGGAAATTGGGAATGTACAATAATATTCCTCCGAAATGTGTGTTTTTCTCTCAGTTGTTTGGCAACCTGGTAGGCGTTCCTTTTAATTATCTAGCTTTGAGATGGGTCGTAGACACAAAGCTGGATTATCTAAGGGGCACTATCAAGGACCCTTTAAACCAATGGACAGGTCAAGAGCTAGTGAATTTGAATACCAACGTTATACAGTACGTTCTTCTGGGGCCCCAACGATTGTTTCAAAACTACAGAATTCTTCCCTTTGGGTTTTTGTTGGGCCTATTGGCTCCTCTGGCAATCTATAAACTTTACATTTGGGATACCAAACGCCGGCTAAAATTTGATTTATGGAATAGCACCATTTTGTTTTCTACAATGTCACATTTTTACGGCAACATAAGTACTGGTTACTTGAGCAAGTTTCTGCTGGGAACCTTTTCCACGTTTTATCTCTTCAGATTCAAACATCAATTATTTTCCAAATTTAACTACATTCTGGCTGCTGCTTTTGATACCGGATATAACATCAATGTTATAATACTACTTATCTTCTCTACTGTGACTGCGAAGTTAATGAATGATGAGGGCCACTTCGTTCATTGGTGGGGAAATAACAGTCAGAGTGTAGAGAGGTGTTTTGCGTTGTAGGTATGCACGATCTATTACTATGAATACTATTCCAACAATTCACATGAAAGAAACTTTACATTTTTTTGATGTTCTTCGTCAAGAACTGACTGGCCGACAAGTCCTAATTGTATCCAATCACCATAAGCCATGGCAACTTTTTGATAAGTATATTGCAAATAGTCAAAGTCATCATTAGATTCTGGTGCTTCCTCAATAACCGTCTCATCACCAACGTCGTGTTCATTATCTATAGTGATTTCATATAATTCACCATTGGGGCCGATCCCTGTGGTCTTGGTAATGCTGTCATCTAATTCGGTGGGGGTTGATTGCCTTGATTTGTATTTCTTGAAATCCTCTCCGCTTTGAACTACTCCCCAGAGAGCCCAAAATACGGAGCTAGCTGCTCTCCAGTAAATACATTGATTGTACAATTTTTTGATTTTTGACTCAACCTCCTTGATGTTCTCTTGTGATACTTCAACAAATGAATTTTTTCTCTTGTTTTTCTCTATTCCATTATAATTGACATACGTCGCAATCAAGTTTAGTTTCTCATCTCTGGTAGGATATCGCTGCACTT